GCCTTTGTGACCTTGTCGACGGCCGAAGCCGAGCTCATGTCACTGCTGGAGAGTCTGGTGAGTGCCCGGTCAGCTGGGGCTTTGGTCGAAGCAGTGTTGGGAGGAGAAGTTAGTTTGAAGCTACACTCGGACTGCCATAGCCATCGCTGCAGGGGCTACTTCGTCGTGGAGAACGAGACATCTGAGGATTCGGGGAGCAGGGTTGACAGAGGCTTTGAGGCTGCGAGAGATCTCCCTGAGCCATGTCGCGGGAACGGAGCTTGTGGCTGATGGCATGACGAAGCAGCTCACTGGACAGGCACTCCAACACTTCAAGGAGGCTCTAGGCATACGAGGAGTTGGGGAGATCGAGAAGATTGAGGTGAAGAAGATAGAAACCACTGGAGGAGCTCCGGACCCCAGATTGGGAAAGGGCCTGGGACTGTTGATTGCAGTCGCTAGCATGGTCACCTGTGCGGAATTCTCATCACGGCAGCCATCGCCGTCATCGGGGACATAGTGCTCAGAGTGGGAACGGCTGGAATCAAGAGGTGGATGACGCGCAGGGAAGAGCTCAAGGTGAATTTTTATCATATTTAGAGGCGCGGATGCCATCTCGGGGCTCTGATCAAGCCGCCGGACTGGATTTGACATCAGTCATTGAGACGATGGTCCCTCCTCGAGACAGTGTCCTCATCAAGACAGGCCTGGCGATAGAACTACCTCCGGGAACCAATATGGAAGAGTGGCACCAAGATCGAGTCTGGCAATCCGCGGGATTGAGACTGGAGCCGGAGTGATAGACGGGGGGAGGTCAAGGTGCTGCTTCGAAATTGGAGCGATGAGGACCTCTACATCTACAAGGGAGACAGAGTGGCACAGCTGGTTATCGAAAAGATCATGGAGGTGGGAGTCAGAAGTGTGGAGAACCTGACGGAAACCGCCCGAGGATCGAGAGGCTTTGGGTACTCCGGGCACGAAGAGGCCTACCCATGGGCGGAGCCGGACGATCCACTCTATCAGCGGCAGGAGCTGGGCACGAGGAATCCAGTGGACCGGATTTCGATCCGGTCTCTTCGAATGGGAGGAGGATCCAATGAGACTGCCAATGAGGCCGGGACCCAGACGGAAGAGGTCGAGAGTGAGGAACTATCTCATGGACCCCTAGGAGATCCTAGCCTTCGACGAGTGCGCGATTCTGAACTTTGGTGCGGGGAGCTTATGATGCTGAGGCGGAGGAGAGACGCAGGGCGAACTTGGGCCTGCCGATGAGCGCATGGGATCGATCCATGATCCGAAGAGGACCCAGGCGGAACTATGGAGGAACTTGGGTGATGATGGGATCCGAGGGCCTGCACTTCATCTCCCACGACCCAGGCGATGGGTTGGGATCCGGACAGCCCTCAGACTCCGGTGCTCGAGGTAGGTGATCTTCGAGATGGACGTGGTGCAGCTGGGGGCAGTGGCCAACCATCAGAAGAAGCACCACCGAGGGAGCGTCCGGAAGGAGCACTACCCAGGGTGGAACCTTTGCGGCTGGTGACCACGGTTGACGAGGGTGTGGTGCTGGGGAAATGGTGCCACGAGGAAGAGATGTGGGACTACTTGAGGACGCCCGGGTTCCAGAGAGGGTTCATCAATGAAGCGGTCCTCAAGGTGATCTCCACTCCGCCACCGAGAACAGCGGTGAAGGACTCGTGGGAGTACTTGATCGGCCACGAAAGGGGAAAGAAGATCGCCATCAGGGTGCACCATCAGCCCCGCAAGAAGCTGTACGACTTTGAAGCCAAGGTTCTCTTGGAAGAAGAGTGGGGGCGATGGAGGATGACGGTGGCGTGGCCGGTGATCGGAAAGAGAAAGACCATTTTGGTCGATGAGCGAAATGGAAGGAGGGGAGGACACCTCGACTCCTGGTGGGGGTACACGCTGTTCCGCACCCCGTGAGAAAGGGCTTGAGCACTCCCGAAAAGGGGATAATTTTGAAGTTTTCTTGTGGCACCTGAGTTGGCCAACTTGGCCAAGGGGGAGTGCCGGTGCACAAAAAGAGAAGTGTACCAAGTTTGCAGTTAGGGTCAGGTGCACTAAATCCGAGAAGTGTACCAAGTTTGAGACACCAAATCGAGAAGTGTACCAGGTTTGAACCAAAGACCAAGGGTACCGACAGCCCTTTTCGTTCGACAGCGGAAAAAGTCCGCTGACCCGTTTGCGGAAAGAATCCCATCCAGAGCGGTGAATCTTGCTGTTCGTGCTTATCACTATCTGAAGGAAGAGCTAGAGGCAGATGGGCTGGTGATTTCCACTGGCAAAACAGGCTTTGTTGTGTCGAACAGTGAAGCTAAGAAGTTGTTGAAGGATGTACTTCCCGCAAACGGCCCGACAGTGCACGATGTCATGAGGGATTTGGGTTGTGATTGCACTAGTGGAAGGCTCAGAAGAATCATGACCATGAAAGCCACGAGGAACAAAGGTGGCCGCAAAGGAAAGAAGCTCTTCACCTTGAAGATTGCCATGAAAGCAGTCAGGTTGAGGCTGTTCAAAGGAAGCATCCTGGCTGGCATCAAATGGGGGCATGAGGCTATGGGAGCAGCCCCCGCGAGCTCGCTACAGAGCTACCATGGCTCGTCACTTGGGGCTGCAAAGGACTGGCAATCAAGACATTGTTTTTGACATGCATGAACAACACCAAGACCCATGTTGTGGTGCTTTCATTGATCAAGTGCTTGCTTACAGGAAATGTGTTTGTGCGTGGCCGGAGGCCCTTCAGTCGGAGCTTCAGAAATCCTGGCAGCATTATCATCAGTTGCTGGACTCGGTGAAGCACTTGGCAACATGCCAAGGACCACTGGCCGCTTTGCAGTGTTATTTGCGAGAACATGGCAGGGAGCATGACAGATTTGATCAGTGGAGCAAACCGGGCCACAATGGCCTGCCTGCATGGGAGATTCATTTGCAGAATGACTGGCTCAGCACCAAGCAGCAGTTGAAGGAAGTCCAGAAGATCAACAAACATGTTGGAAGATGTCCAGCAGCCGCTGGATAGGGTGGCCTGGAACAGGCTCAAGAAATCGTTGACCACTCGGGATGCCACGGCCTTGCTCACATGGCATCAAGGAGCCCTGTTCTTAAAGCAGAGTGACAGCCAGCAGCATGGCTACATTCAATGCCCTCAATGTCGAGCTCCTGCCACGGCCGCGCATGTCTTGTGGGTGTGTGGTGAGACCAACAAGCACTTCAAAAAGCTGCCTGATGCATGGGAGATGGAAATCACGAATGGTGTGAACCTGGAATTTTGGGCGGGTTGTTTTGTCGACCTCAGTACAGCTTGGACACTGAAGGGGCCTCAGTCGAAACGTGGGGGTCATGGACTCTTCATGATTTGCTGCCTTTAAAGAAGGAGGAATGCCTCGCCATAGGAATAGCTGCCACAAGCCAAGAAACTCGCCTGCGACACTTTGTGGTTGCAGTGGTTCACCGTACTCTCAAGGATGGTGAACTGTACCGGCTGGGTTGCATTACGGCCATTCTGCCCTAGGCATTTTGCTGACTTGACTGAGGAAGTGAAGATCCATATCATGTCCACGCAGTCCTTTGATGCCTGGCTCAAACAGAAGCACAAGACCACGTTCTGGGACTTGAATAGCCTAGTCACCCCAAACCAGAGAGCCCGGATTCGACCCATTTACGTGTCTCGACAGCACTTGAAGCAGATTCCGCTTGGTGGATGGTCCTTGAGTAGCAGAATGCAAGATGCTACCAAGGTGGCCAAGGAGAGAGCTTTGGCAATGAAACCCACAGATCTTGAATCTGAGCTTGCCCAACAAGATGCCAAATACCAGGCTGTAGCTCGGCATGCCATTGAGAGAGTGAAGTTCATTTTGGACGACAAGAGTCACTTTACCCGGCAGCACAGGGAGACAGCCAAAGAAAAGAGAGAGGCAGCCAGGCAAAGAAAGAGAGATGCATATGTATCCCTCCTTGGCCCGGCATGTTTGGGTTGTGAAAGGTGCTGGTTTGCAGTGCAAAGGATGCAACAGCCGGGCAAACATGCATGTCCAGTATGAGCAACGGTGCAATACCGTTCTGAGCAGTGTCCTTTGGCGGGAGTGAAAGCACCCAAAGGGGGGGGCAGAAGAGACGCCGATCACCAAGTCGGCCATTGTTCAGCAGATGCTCGAAGGCGCTTTTCCGAAGCAGGAAGCTCATGCTCTTGAGATCAAAAAGAATTACCTTTGTTGCTCTGCGTGTGGACAGATGGTTTTGAGGCATAGCTCCATCGACAAGCTGACCCTTTGTGTTCGGAGAAAATGCTGGAATGAAAGCTTCAGGCCCCCTTGGCAATGGCAGGGGCACTTGACGCACGAACTCTGGCGAAGAGGAAACAAGGTTTCTTGTCTCCGGTGTGGAGGCCAAGCCCTATGCAGCGAGCATGGGGATGCTGCTTCGTCGAAGCTCAAAAAGAGCTGTTGCCAGACAGGTGAGCAGCTCGAGCTGCCGGCGCTTTTTAGGCGCCATGAAGTCGAAGCTGACTTCTCTAGCAGAAGAGGAACAAAAGAGACGTAGAAAAAAAATCACACCTACACATGTTGTTTTTGCTTCGCCCTGGGAAGCACAAAGGAGACAGGCTTCGAGACAAACAGCTGCGATGAGGGAGACGGCATGGAAGACAATAGTAAGACGCCATCACAGCAGTGGACAGCCAAGACACGCGGTGAGTGTGCCCACGATGATCTGGTCATGACCAGTGGCCAATACAATGCATGGGCACACTTTGGGTACCTATGCCTAGGAGACATCAGCCATCAGCCGGATCAGCAGCTTGGGCAGCAATGAGCCCACAGCTGGAACTGGGAGACAAAGAGAGCGACAGGGGAGCGAGACACACCGGAGACAAAGCAGCACTCAGCACGGCATAGCAACAAGTTCATCATTTGCGGTTAAAAAACCTCTCTCGAAAATAGGATAAAGCTGAAAAAAATGAAACAACCCAAAATCCTACACCACCTACTGTCCTGCGGCCCTGCCTCCCAGTTGACATCTGCACAACCACAGGGCGGTCGCAATCAGGAAGAAAGGTGTCATGTAAAGGTGCGTCCTGCTGAGCTGCGAATGCACAGCCACACGTACAGTGCACTCACTCACTAGATCTGAGAAGCATGGTTGAAACTACAATGATCACGAGGTAATGCAAACTGCTAGTTGCAGTGCAAACTGCTAGTTTCTTCAATATCGAAACTTGATGCATTCCCCATGTCCATCTCACGGAGGAAGCGCAACCGACGCTCACGCTTCGAAAGATTCTGCACAGCCTTGAGTGTGTCCTGCGCAGCACTGCTCAAACTCAGGGCAAAACGGAAAGTGCACAGGAACTCTGCAAGAAAACAAATTAGAACTGACAATCAAGCGATCACAAGCTTGCCACCTGAAACTGAGGCATGATCCTGTCATCAGCTTTTGCATGCTGTCACAGTTTCAAACGGCAAGAAACAATCAAACAAACTTGCAAAGCTTGCGGAATACCACTGACAGTGATGTCATTCTTCGGGACACCATCAGCTATAAGTTGGAATTTTGCCTGAAGGTGTCTCTACAAGCTCGCTAAGACCCGAAACTAAATATGCGTTCCAAGTGCTGCATTCTGAGATCGGAGCTACCTCCCTGGGCACAAAATACTGGTCGGTTGGCCTTTGTTGGAGATGTTTTTTGTAGCGCACCGAGCAAAATTTGTCTGAGCTCAGGGCTGTTGGAACCACCAGGCATGAACATCCATGTCAGTGACCTTTGGAGCACTGTGGACTGGGAGAATGGGAAGAGACAAACATCCAGAAGCAAGGGACAAACAGAAAGGAGGTGGGGTTAGAACCAGTGAGATTGAAGATTCAAGTTGAAGAGAATCGGGCAAATGCGAGGAAATGAAATCCATTGCCAAATCAGAACTGAGATGAAAATTGAGAGGAGGCAGAGCCTGTTCTTCCAGTGGGTCAGCTTTGCACAAACATTCAACTTTACCACAGGATACCATCCACACAAAATCCAATGATCAAATCAGCATGCTGATCCCATTCAAGCTGCACACTGTGCACTCCAGAAGGTGCTGAACAGTCAATAAGATGCTGCAAGGTAAGCTGGGATGAGCTGAACATGATGGGCAGCTTGATAAGAAGAATAAAAAGGTGAGTAAGATGAGGGAGGAGATCTGAGCAAACCGAACAAGAGGGAAAAAGTGGATTTGATGAGATTGAGTGCCGTAAGGCAGGGTTAGACTGGAGAGGATGTATAATACAAATTGAAATGAGGTACAGGTACAAACATAAATGATATCAAGATCAAATGAGAGAGGGAAGTGATGTGAGGTCAGATCGATTGGCAGCTCAGTGGTGGACCACAGTCACTTGAGGAACTTTCAGTCCGTGCCTGCAAACTTGCTGTGAGATCCCAAAACCAAGTTCTCAACCCACATTCTTGTTGAAAAGTTTATTTGCGTCGCGAGCTTGAAAAGATCATGGGGTCCTTCGCCGCAAGGATGCCACCAGCTCAGGTGAAAGGAAGTGTGTGTGGACCTGACATGTTTTGATTGAAAAACATGACTCTGAAAACCCTTCAACCAATGGCTGCTTTGCCAAGATGTCAGGCTTCATCTCACACCTTGTCCGAAAGGACGGGTAGCCAAGAAGAGACACAAAATTGAACGGTTCAAACGCTGGAAGTGTTGTATAAAGGGTTATTCTCCTGGAATAGATTGCAATGACATGGTCTGAATGCAATTCTAAGGATGGGACACCAGCTGAAGAAAGTTGAGCAGGAAGCTCTGCGTAATGCGTCGCTGCAAGGCATTTCCCCCTGTGAAAGAGTCACCCACGTTGTTGGCGCGGTCGAAGAGGAAGCCAACAAAGTGCCCCCCCAAATCGCCACACACTGTGTGACCCCCGACAAGGCGCAAGTACCTAAAATCAGAATCCTTGGAAGCAAACTGTTTGGTGAGATGCTGGAAGATTTGGTCTTTTTTCTCTCACGTGCTGCAAACTTCAAATTCAAACTCGTAAGGCTCTTGGCTGCGAATCATTCCTGTAATAGGGGCACCAATCCTTGTAAAAATATATCAAAGTCCGATCCTTGGCGACTTGGAAGTGAACAAAACAAAAAGAACGGAATTCGCTTAATGATCCCACCCGTCCACCCCGTCTGCACCAAGCAGCGGCATATGGTGGCTCCATAAGGTCCACCACACGGACTTCCAGCGATGCATCCAAGCGATGCAGGGCGGATGACAAGGCCTCGGCACCGTGAACAGCATGAAAGGTCCAATTCGAATGTAAAACTTTTTTAGCCCGTTGGCTCTGCCTCCTTATTTAGTTAAGTAGGCGCCTACTAAATTAAGTAAGGGAGAAGTTCGCTACTAGCAATAGGAAGCTCCTAGCTAGGACGCAGGATAGCTCACGCTTCTAATGATTCGGTTCCCTGTTTTTTTGGCTAACCACTTTCATTGGTTGCATCAAATTCTCAAGTCGGCCAACTCCATTGTTCCACAAAGATTGACAGCATCCCTTGTGCCTGAGCAGCTCTGGAATGGCCAGATCCAACAGATGCGTGGCAAATCAATACTTTTCGTACCTTGCGGCGCCAAATAAGTTGGAAAAACATCAAACATCCTCACCAGGCGATCAAAGAATACCTGACTAGCTCGAGCGCACTCGGCTGCCTTGCCTGCATTCCTGCGAAACACTGGCATGGGCGGGAAATTTTACACTTGCCCATCCCCGTCCTGGTCATGGACTGCTGTCTGAATGAGAGCTCTGTACTGTCGAATCTTCCAGCAAGTGGCAATCAAATGAACGACCTGGGAAAAAGCCGGCTTTCAACACAACCATGCTAACCCAAGGTAACATAGGAACTGGCTGTTGGCCAAGCAACCCAGTGCTTCTAAATAGACTCGGGGTTTGCATTTGTGTCGAAAGAAGGTGGTCCAGCCGAGCATAACTCGGCGGATACACTCGTAGATGAGCAAACATACATAAGGAGGGGCAAACAACTTGCCTCAAAAATAAAAGGACCGGATAACCCCACATGATAAGTTTTACAAAATTCAATTGTATATGAACATCACATGGGAGACGGAGTAGTGAGATGAAAAGTCAAGAACGAAGTGTGAGGAGAGAAGGTATATGAGGCGGTTGTGCTAAGACGTGCAGTATAAGTGATGATGTGATGGACGAGGATGAGAAGGAGGGGAGGGAGGAGGTGTGTGTGTGTGTGGTAAGATGGCGTGCGTGTGTGTGTGTGGGTGTGTGATAAAGTGTCTGATGATGTGATGAACAAGGATGAGAGGGACGAGAGAGAGAGAGAGAGAGAAGGATGACAAGTTCTGACTGACCATATGATCCCCCTCCGGTATGACAGGAGGTGGAGAGAGAAGTTTGGAGGCTCTGGATTTTGCGATCAGATCCGCATGAGACCTTCAAAACGTAACACACTCGAAACGACCATCAAAGCTATCAAGCAGTCTTATCCCGACCACGGCGGGCAGTGCTAGCAGGATGTAAAGTGGAGTGAGTGAGTGAGTGAGTGAGTGAGTGAGTGAGTGAGTGAGAGAGAGAGAGAGTGAGAGTGAGAGTGAGAGTGAGAGTAAGAGTGAGAGTGAGAGTGAGAGTGAGAGTGAGAGTGAGAGTGAGAGTG